CCCCCCCCCCCCCCCAAATAAAATCCAGGCTCCTTGGAAGCTGCAAAGCTTTTCTTAGTTTGATCCTTGTTTGTCTTTTTGAGTATCTAACCCATTTCTTTTCTGAGCAACTGAACCACTTGGGGTTACCTGAGGAGACTACCCTGTATGTTTTCTCTGCCTGGAATCCTGTCCGCTCTTCTGACTAAAGAAATTACACACGTCCCCTAATACCACCCTCTCCTGTTCACCCCAGGCAGTGTTTTCCAGAGGAACTATTTTTTACATACCCACTCTCCATCCTGCACTGTGAACACCTTCAGAGTGGGCATTGGTGTTTGGGTCAGTCGCCTTTGTTTCTCCAGCGTCCAGCAGCATGGCTGGACCTTAGTAGGCATCAGTGTAAGCTTTGATCAATGAAAGAAGGAATGAATGACTAAATCACCAATCATTATCTATACAAGCCCAACAAAAAGCCCCTTTCTGGACCATTCTCTCAGTCTGTACTACAGTTCAGCTTATTTTAATAATTCAGTATGAAGTACCTCCTTTGGCCTTCAAATACGAATGAAAGCCAGATGTTCTTTCTCTAGCTAAACGTTTTTCTATTGCAAATCGTTATTATACAGAACAAGTGAAAGACATGTTTTCTTTGCTCTCAGGGAGATTGCTCTCTAGGAATAATTTTGTCCTTTATTTGTACTCCGTATACGTCCAGAAAGGATGACAGCAAATTAAGAGACACAGGTGTAAAAACTGCAAAACGATTGAAACAAAGTTTAAGAGATAAGGGCTTCCCTGGTGGCGCAGTGGTTGAGAGTCTGCCTGCTGATGCAGGGGACGCGGGTTCGTGCCCCAGTCTGGGAGGATCCCACATGCCACGGAGCAGCTGGGCCCGTTGGCCGTGGCCGCTGGGCCTGCGTGTCCGGAGCCTGTGCTCCGCAACGGGAGAGGCCACAACGGTGAGAAGCCCCTGTACCGCAAAAAAATAATAATAATAATAAGATGCAAGTATTGGTGGGTTAGAAAACCTAGCCCGCTAATAACCGACTTTCATGTGACTTTTTCAGCAGTTTATAAAGTGTGATCTCAGGTGTGCGTTGTCTCGCAGCAGTCCTGTAAAATAGGTATTGCTCTCCTGATTCTTATCCCCTTTACACAAGAGATGAGACGGGACTACAGCTCAGAGAGGCCTGGAAGATGAACCAGGGTAAGAAGGGGCCTAGAGTGCCCAGCCCTCATCTTCAGCCCTGGAGCCCTTGCTCTGTCCCCACCCCACACTGCTACCCACAGGTCAGTGAGGAAATCTGCACTTGAGTATAAAACCTTGCTCTGAGCTCCCTGGAAGCCAAAGACAGAAATGAGACAGGCTGAAGGTTATGTACTTCCCATTGTCACATGAAAGGAATTATTCATCAGAAGAAACAAATGTTTTCCTTACTTTTCCGAGAATATATTATAGGGTCTTAAAATGAGAAACACTGAACAATGTTGTGAATAGTACCCCTAAGATTTGAGATTTGCCTAAAATTTTAAAAATTGCAAGTATTGCTTTCTTACATCAAGCTGAGATTAAAGCCCAGGCTACACTTCAGCCAGTGTTTTTTGTGTTTCTGTTCTGCGCCAGACGCTGCTTGGCGTTGTTTTCAGTTAGTATCTCATTTAATCCTCAGTGACAGTTCTGTGAGGTAAGTGTTATTAGTTAGTTCATGTTACTGCTGAGGGGGACTGAAGCTCAGGGAAGCCCAGGTTTACCTTGCATGCAGACTCAGGCGGTTCTGACACCCAAGTCCAATGCTTTTAGTTCTAGAAAAGGAGTACTAGATGGGGAAAGGGTCAGTTGTGCTACATTAAAAAGTAAAAGGAGGGGCTTCCCTGGTGGCGCGGTGGTTGAGAGTCCGCCTGCCGATGCAGGGGACACAGGTTTGTGCCCCGGTCCGGGAAGATCCCACATGCCACGGAGCGGCTGGGCCCGTGAGCCATGGCCATGGCTGAGCCTGCGCGTCTGGAGCCTGTGCTCCACAACGGGAGAGGCCACAACAGTGAGAGGCCCGCGGACTGAAAAAAAAAAAGAAAAAAAAGGAAAAGGAAAACTAAAGCAGTATTCCAGCCACGTGGGCTTCTGTGGGCACATACACATACTAACAGGAAAAGTCAGAACAAGGGAGTTCAGGTTCAAGGTTCAGAAAAGCCTTCAAGGAGTTGGAACATAAAGGATGGGCAAGGTTTAGGTAGGTGGAAAGAAAAATAGGAAGTGAGGATCCGCGGCATGGAGCAGGAAACTTCAGACTCAAGTGGAGCAGCTGAGTCGGTTGCCAGGGAAGAAAAGGTTGCAGAGATCCAGATGGGGCCACGGCTCAGGGAAGCCTGGGTAACGCTGCATCTGGCAGGGACTGTGACCTGATGCGAGTGCAGGTGCACAGCGGCGTGCAGGGTGGATGGGCGCAGTCAGGAAGGATTCTAGCCATCTAGGCTTGAAGGCCTGGGAGCGATTGTAGAAATTCAGAGGAAGTTCAAACCCCAGAGGCATTGCAGGGGATAAAATCGTCAGGACTTGATGCCTCACTGAACATGAAGCCTGAAGAAAGCTGTTCAGGGCTCTCCTGGAAGCAGGGAGATGGTGATGTCTAGCAGAAGACAGGAGCGTGAAAAGAAGAATCTTCTTTGCATTGTGTTTTTTTTCGGGTGCTAATTACATTATCCTATGAGATAGGGCAAGGATTATTGCCCCCATGATGCACTAGGGAAGCAGGTCCACTGAGGAGAAACCACTTACCGGTGCAAGAAACCACTTACATAGCGAAGCTGACCAGTCTCAGGTCTTCAAGCCCCACCCCACTGCTTTGGTGCATGTTGGTTGTGTCTGTATGGGGAGCTGGTCTGACGGAAGATGCATCAGGGAGGGCAAGGGCATAGGGCGGGCCTGGACCTTGGGGGATGATGAGGACCTCGGGGCCAAGGACTTTGGCCCTGTCTTGGGTATAGAAGTGACACCTGAAGTCGTGAAACTGGATGAGTTCCCAGAGACGAAATGTGGAGGGTAGAAAAGGGAGTGCGGTGGGCGTGGGAGAAAGCATCCACCGGGGGTGGGTGGGGACGGGGGTAGGAAGAGATTAGCAACCAGCGTAGGAGGCGGAATCAAAAAGCCAGGCGTGGGCGGTGTGGGTGGAGCCTTCCAGGAGGAGGAGGCTCTTAAGGCCGTGTGCTGCAGAGCATAGGACCGGGGGTAAGTGGGTGGAGCTTAAGGGCTTTAGATTCTTCCAAGAACAAGACTTTTTTTTTTTTTTTTTGCGGTACGCGGGCCTCTCACTGTTGTGGCCTCTCCTGTTGCGGAGCACAGGCTCCGGACGCGCAGGCTCAGCGGCCATGGCTCACGGGCCCAGGCGCTCCACGGCACGTGGGATCTTCCCGGACAGGGACACGAAACCGTGTCCTCTGCATCGGCAGGCGGACTCTCAACCAGTGCGCCACCAGGGAAGCCCCAAGAACAAGACTTTTGAGAGCAGGTTATGGCAACAGTTGTGGTACCTTGGGAGGTGCCTAGATGAGAAGGAACGGAGAAGAATCGGGCAGGAGATAGGAGAGCAGGTGTTTTCAGCACAGGAAAGAACTGAAGATGTGCGTGGGGGTGCGGAGGAGTCTGATTAAGTGTAAAGCAATGAGTGGAGTAGAAAGCGTCCCTCAAACGTGAGAAATTAGGGTTAGATCCCTCTGGAAGTGGAAGCCTGGTTTGGAGAACAAGAGCCTGGCTTTGGAGGGGAGGAGGAAAGCCTTTCCTGAGACCAGAGATTGGAGGACAGGTTGGGGGCAAGTGATTTCTGAGGTGAGGGCCCAGACGGAAGGGAGCTCACACTGGTCTCCACGCCCAGGGAACCTAGAGTTTATCAGCGCTTGGGGTGAGGTGGGGAAGAAAGGGGAGTGGGCAGTTTGTGGGCCAAGAACCCGACAGTCCCAAAGTGAACTCTTCCCTTGGGAGCAGCCCTTTACTTGCTATCCTGGTTCTGCCCCCTTCAGCCTTCTCCCACTGCATCCCACTGTGCCCTGACCACTGACACCACGGACTTGGCCTTGGGAGGATAGGCCAGACCTTAGGCCCCTGGCCATGATCTCCTACCCCCTCACTCCGCCCTGGTGATAACCACCCCTCACAAGTTTTCTGTGGCTTCCAGGGGACTTCCCTCAAGCCATGCTGCTGAGCCCAAGGGCCCAGACCCTGCCCAGGTCAAGGGCCTCCATCCCTCTGATGAGGCGAGAAAAGGTCCTGGAGATCCTGGCCGGGGATTTCTGGGAAGGGAATCTTCAAGCACTGACCTGTAACGTCAAAAAGTGATAGAACACAATGTGAGCACCAGAAGGGACTTGGAGACCTCCAGCCTCTTGCTCTACAGATGGGAGGCTGAAGCCTTGAGAGGCTCACTCAAGTTTTCACAATCGGGAACCAGAATCACGGACCTGTGCTGGCCTGCTTCTTCCCTCTTTTTCTCTCTCCCTGTGGCCTGAAACAGTTCCTTCACCTGCCAGTCACCATCTGAGAAAGAGCCTACAACAGGGCTGTACTCTAATTGGGGGTGGAGGGTGGAACATGGTTCCTCTAAGCTTCCAGAATGGCTCATGAGCTCTAAACCCCAAGCAACTGGTTTATACCTCGGCTTATTCTGTGGCTTATAATTATTTCTGAGTCTGCCTTCCCCACTAAACTGAGTTCCTCCAGGGCACAGACTAAGTCTTACTCATCTTTGGGACCACAGTGCTGGCCTACAGTAAGCATTAAATATACGTTGGGTGGACTGAATGGGCAGAGGGAGAGGGGATGGGGAGGGAGACGTGGCTGGATCAATAATGGTGGGGGCTTAAGAGGTCAATGGCTAATATATCTTCTTCCCCTCCCAAGTCCAGAATTAACTGAAAAATAAGAGACAGACACATGGGCATCAAAATGGGGGCTTTACCAGTATTTCTGATAAAGCAGATTGGAGACTGTAGCTTTTGCTTTTGGGCCAAATGGACTTAATAATATCCTCCTCCAAATAAACATGCACCCCCCCGCCCCCCCAAAACGGGCAGACCTCTCTCCCTGGCAAGGACAGAACCTCCTGTGGAATTTTACAGTGTAGATCAATGGAGAATATGCTAATTCTGCCTACAGCAGAACCAAGAGTGAGTGAGTGAGAGAGAGAGAGAGAGAGAGAGAAACCCAGAAATATTTGAGCTCAGCTCCTTCCCTAAGCCACTAATCAGCCAAGCCATTCCCCTCCTCTGAGGACGATGAAGACTGTGAGGATTTAGGGAGTGGTCCTCTCACCCTTCTCCAGGAGAGTGGAGTGGGAATTCTCTCCCCTTATGGAAACATGGGGAGTGGGGACAGGTCTCCCACTGTGGGATGGGATACGGTGGACGGATGGGTAGAGGGGGTGGAAGGAAGGACGTGGGGGAAAGGGTGAGACCCCATCGTCACAGTGTTACAGTGTAGACCCAGACACAGTCACCTTTCCAAAGCAGAATGCCAAAATCCTTATTCCTTGTGATTGTACTTGCCCAGTGCTCGTCTGTGTATGCAGAGTGGAGAGAGGACCTTGACTCCTGTGAGCTGGGATGAGAGGCCAAATCTCAGACCCACACTCCACTGACATGGCCCAGTGCCATGTTCACCTTCAGGGCTGGTCTTTGGTCTGGAAGGGGCCGGAGACAGACCCGAAGGAGCTTCCGTGGTGCTGCCTCGTTTGCCATCAGGCCTTCACTGACCCCCTGCCCCTTCATGGCTGGAAAAGCTCTAAATTCAGCATGTACTGAGCTCCTCGTCCCCTCAGTCAGGCACTTGACACAGAGTAGTCCACTTGTTCCTCACAACCACCTGGTGAAGGAGATGGTGTTGGTCCCATTTTACAGATTATGCCACTGTCACTCAGAGTTGTGATTGTTTGGCTCACCCATTAAGTGCCAGAGCCACTGTGGCCTCCTGAAGGCCTGTGTGGCGCTCAAGAACAGCAAACCACACCATCTGGGTTGTTTCTGGGACTCCTGCTTTGGGCCACTCTGCCCCCAGGGGCCTGCTTCCTAAGTTAACCTAAAATACCGCTCGATGGATCTTGCCAACCTCTGGGCCTCAGCAAGGCTCTCTTCAGGGTGTGGCTCCAGATGGCCTTTCCGGCAGCCCTTTCCCTGCACTGCTGCTCCCCATAACTTCAGTAGGCAGGCCCCCGCCCCTCTCGTCCGCCAGGCTGGAATGCCCAGCCCTCCACCCTGCCCATCTCAAAATCTTTCTCATCCTTTAATACCCAGCTCGAGCCAGTCTCTGGGAATCCTCATGACTTGTGCCTGTGTCAGGCTCTTAGGTCACTTTGCCTTGATTCAAGGCATTTAGGCACACTCTGGCGCCCCTACTAGCCCTTGCTTCTCCTCCCAGGAATCCTGTCTCCCCTGACCCAGAGGTGCCACAGTAAAGGTGTGTGGCAGTGTTGGCATCAGAGCAGCCTGCAACTGAAGGGCTGCAGCCCAGCCTCTGCTCCCACCAGCCCCACATGACATTCACCTGCCCAGTGCCACTCAGCTTCTAAGAGAGAACAGACAAGGCTAAATGGCCCCTAGGATAGCAGAATGATGCCAGGCAGGCGCCTGACACAACCCCTGGACAGGAAAATAATTTTCTTCCTCTTAACAACAGTTATTAAGGGGCCTGTGCCCGACCCACTGCATCCAGGGTCTGGGCTTAGCCATCTCTATGGCTCTCGTCTCCCTGGGTCCCCACCCCTAGGCTCAGCCCCAAGGCTAGTATATACTTGTCTGCCCTCCCATTGCCCTTTATCCACTCAGCCCATAGGACGGGTGGACAGTCCTGCAGCCCTGGGGGATTTTGTTTGATTTATATGCTTTTATTATCAGGGTATCCGGGATCCCTTGGAGCCCTTTTCAACTCAGTCTTCCCATCCTTGCCCCTCTCAGTTGAGCTCCCTTTTACAGACACTTAGTACCACAGTCCAATGTTAGGGTCAAAGACCACCCCTGCCGCGCAGACATTCATGCACACAGATATGCACCCAGACACATACACGAGAACATACACAGATGCACATGCAGGTAAATATACACTGATGTGCAGCTAGATACTTAAAGGCAGCCAAGCAGACACACAAATGTCACAAATAGACAGTATGTAATGTACACACATGCCCAGGTATATAGTTATGCATAGGTATAGTGTACAGGCATACCTCATTTTATTGTATTTCACTATACAGTGCTTTGCAGATACTGCATTTTTTTATTTTTATTTTTTACCAACTGAAGGTTTGTAGCAACCCTGAGTTCTCAGATAATGGCTAGCATTTTTTAGCAATAAAGTATTTTTTAATTACAGTATGCACATTTTTTTTAGACATAATTCTATTGCACACTTAATAGACTACAGTATAGTGTAAACATAACTTCTGTATGCACTGGGAAACCAAAAAAATTGTGTGATTCACTTTATTGAGATATCAATATTTGCTTTATTGCGGTGGTCTGGAACTGAACCCATAATATCTCTGAGGTGTTCCTGTATATGTTGAGTTGAGCCACGTGAAATTGTCAATATTCAGTGTTTTTTTTTTACTTAAAAAAATGGAATCTAATACAAATGTGGGCATGGAGGGAAATATTAAAAAATACAGAGCCAAATTTGTACACCCATGTTCAAGCAGTGTTATTCACAATAGCCAAAAGATGGAAACAATCCAAGTGACTATCTGTGGGTGAATGGATCAACAATGTGGCATATACACACAATGGAATATTATTCAGCCTTAAAAAGGAAGGAAATCCTGTCACATGCCTTCAACATGAGTGAACCTGTATGCTAGGTGAAATATGCCAGTCACAAAAAGACAAAGACTGTATGATTCCACTTACATGAGTTACCCAGAGTAGTCAAATTCACACTCAGAAAGTACAGTGGTGGCTATCAGGGGGTGAGGAGGGTACTTAGCCTTTCATAGGTACAGAGTTTCAGTTGGGAAAGATGAAAAAGTTCTGGAGATGGATGGTGGTGACGGTTGCACAGCAATATGAGTGTACTTAATACCACTGAACTGCACACTTAAAAATGGTTAAGATGGTAAACTTTATGTTAATTAAAAATAATCTTTTAAAAGAACCAAAAATATGTACTGTCAGGTAGACATATACACACTGAGGGATAAACACAGGAACTCAGCAACACAGAAACATGACTCCTCCCCTTCCAGGAGTGCTTCTCTGACCCAGATATGGCCCTGTTCTCCCCCTAAACAAATCCAGAGATAAGGCCCTGCCACCTCGGCTACCCCCGTGGCTTGTTACCCTCCCACAGTCTGGCTCCACTTACTCCTCCCCCTGCCCCTCACGCAGCCTCCCCACGCCCAGGGAAGGGCCTCCTTAGAGTACCCGGGGCTCTGATCTCTGCCCCTGCCCCTCCTGGGACCCTCTAGCATCCTCAAAGACAAAGCCCCATTCGTCTTTAGTCCTAGGGCCCAGCTTGACGCAGGGAGCCCCTAAATCCCCTCGCCAGCACCAGCCCCGCTGTGCATGCACTGGGCCCCAAGTGAAGCTTTGTGGGCATAGAGGAACCTGTGTCTGATCTGGACATGATCACAGATCAGTTAAAGCAAGTGCAGCCAGTACTAAACGAGGTCGTTGAGACATGGCATTAGGTTTCCTGCTGTCCCGGCCACCCTCATGGGACCTCGTCCCTCCACAGAGAGGTGGGGCTGGCACCCTTGTGACCACTTCTGCCCGGCCTGCCTTCCCAGCTAGCTGCCATCTGCTGAGCCCCCTTCTCCAGCGCAAAGCCTCACCCTGCTCCTGAGGACTCCGGGACTAAGGCCCTTGATGGGGGCAGAGAAGGGAAACTGGCCTGCTGTTTGCCTCCGGACCATGCAGTGTGTCCCCCGATCCTCTCAACCAACTTTCTCACTAACCATTTAATACTCAGCCCCCAAGGAGGGGAGAAAGGCTGGGGTCTGGCGCCACCAGGTCAAGAGCTTCCCCAGAGCTGAGGGTGGTGGAAACGCAGACATCAGGAACAGAATTTTTCAGGGGTGGGACAGCATTTTTCACTGGGACTCCGGAAGGGCAGGGTTTGGAGGAAACTTGCTGGGAGCCTGGTGGGGATGCAGCAGGTGACGCTGGGGTGGCGGAGGGAGTGTGTGCTGAGTAAGGACCTTCCCTTTCCCCGGGCGGCGGGCGGGCGAGTCCCAACAGCAGGCGGACATGTGAGGCTGGCCCAACAGGTTCCCGAGGCCGGGGGCAACGGGGTGGAGCGTGGCTCTGACAAAGGGCAGGCGGGCGGGAGGCAGTTTCTGCTGGTATCTTCTTCCTGCTGCAGCCAGCCCGGGGTGCAGGCCATGGAGCCTGCTGGAGGGTGAGGGTAGCCGGTGGGCAGGCGTGTTCGGAGGCGCTGGGAGCTCAGGGCATGGCGGGGCCCCTGCGGTGCCGGGTGGAGGAACTGAAGCGGCAGCGGTGGCGGGAGAGCTCACCGCAGGTGCTCCAGCACAGCGAGGCAGCCCGGCTGGCGGCCGATGCCCTCCTGGAGCGGGGTGAGGCTGCCTACCTGCGGGTCCTCTCCGAGGAGCAGGAGCTGCCCTTCCTGAGCCCTCTGGATGTGGACTACATGACCAGCCATGCGCGCGGGGGATCTGAGCTAGGCGAGGCCGTGGGGCCAGGGGCTGCCGGGCCTGACCCCCTCAGCCTGCTCTCCGAAGTCACCTCCGGCACTTACTTCCCCCTGGCCTCCGACATAGACCCCCCGGACCTGGACTTGGGCTGGCCCGAGGTGCCACGGGCCACGGGCTTCAGGCCCACTCAGGCTGTGATCCACTTCCAGCGGAACAAAGCCAGGAGCATCAAGGACCTTCTGCGTTTCCTCTTCAGCCAGGCCCGCACGGTAAGGGCCTCGTCTCTTCAGACGTTCATTTCACAGATGTGGAAACTGAGGCCCAGGGAGGGGAAGTGTGGCCACACAGCAGCTTGGGGGCAGCATTGGGACGAGAACCTCTGCCCCCTATCAGATCACAAGCTCCTAGAGTGTGGGCGTGTTTTATTTACCTTGGTAACCTCTTGGCACTCGAGGACATTATGAACAAGCTTAGAACAGGGGAGGGGCCTCAGGGACTCCACAAACACCCTGAAAACCCGTGCTAAGTGGTGTTCATTGCAGAGGGGGATCCTCTCTCTTTTGGGGGAGAGGGCCTATGGCCTTCATCAGATTCTCGAAAAGGTCTGTGATCCCCAAACTAAGAACCCCAAACTTGGTGAGCATCTGAGCCACCCCCTTGGGTTACAGAGGAGGAAACTGAGGCCAGAAAGGGACTGGGACTTACTCAGGAGGTCCAGTCAGTTGGTGAAATGGGACCCGGCGCTCAGGGAGAGGGAAAGGGCTCTAGACTCAGGCCCTGGGCCCCAGGCACAGCCCTGCCTCCTGACAAATGGTCCCAACCACACCTCGCTTTGTGCACTGTGTCTCCACTGGCCTGAAGCAGGGGAAGGGGCACTGGTGCCTGGGCCTCAGCATGGCCTTGAGGCCTGGGCTTTTAGCTTTGCACCCAAAGGAAAGAGGAGCGGAAGCTGCTGGGCTCAAGGATGGGGAGCAGGGCTCAGAAGAAAGGGAAGCGGCAGAGCAGGTGGGGTGTTGGTACCTGGGAAGTCTTCAGCTACAGACTAGCACAGCCTCACTCCTAGAGCCCTGGCCTCTGACTCAGGAGGCAGGGAGATGGATCAGACGACCCTAGGCAGAGTTTGGGGTGGCTTAGACTCAGTGCCCTTGCTAGGGGAGCAGCCCTGAGGGTACCTGCTGCAGATGTTAGGAGCCAGGATGCTGGCATCCTGCTGCTACCTCCAGAGCCTCCCTGGCAAGTCTACCTACGTCCCAGGCAGGGGAGGGCCAGACCTGACTGGCACAGGGAATGGGGTTATTAGTGAGATGGCTGCTGTCATCACCCCTGCCCTTTGATCTTTCTTGCTTGTCCTGTTCCCATCACCTGTGGCCAGGCCTGTGCCATGGACTAGGGCATCCCTCAATGCTTTGGTTCCTCATCCTCCCGTCTAGACCCTCCACCCCTGGGCCAGGAGCCAAGCTTCCACTCTGGGCTGTCACTGACTCTCAGAGTGATCTTGAGAAGTGCTTCCTCCCTGCTGTGGCCCAATAGCTTTGTTTGTTAAGGAGGCAGCAGGAGAGGAACATTTATTGAGCTTCTGTTGTGTGTTGAGTATTTTCACATTAAATTCCCCATAGCTCTTGAGAGGTAGCTATCACTATCTCCATTTAGCAGATGAGGAAGTTGAGGCTCCCAGGGGTGAAGGAATTCGCCTAAGGTCACAGCACTAGGAAGTAGCAGGGTGCAGGTTCAAACCCAGTTCTGTCTGGCTCCAGAGCTGGAGTGCTTTGCTCCGCACCTCCTGCCTCTCAGCCTGGACTGGGAGAGGAGGTTCTTACGGCAGATATTGCAAGCCCCGCCTCTCCACCGAGCAGAAAACTTGGTCCCAGTTGTAAGAGGTCACAGCAGATCTCTGCAGCTTCTCAGGGCAAGAGGTGGGCCTAGCAAAGGGCA